AATAATCATTTTCTAAACAAAATCTAGAAAGGGACTCACAGCGGCCCTTAATGGCTAGCGTATGACTAACAAGATTTTGGCTACAATGAATTTTCCAAAGCAAAATCTCCCTTTTTCCAGAAAGCAAGTCTGCAACCTCTCTGACAATGTAGGCTAACTCGGGCATCTCCCTCTCCTTGGATTGGATCTTCTGCAACGCTATCAAAACCTTAGCAAATCGATCCTTATAAAGGATTTTTTTCAACCGAGTCCTTTTCTCCCCCGTAAACATTCCAAGGAAACTTCTGTAGATCAGATCTCCAGAAAACCAGACGCTAACCGATCCGAAGTGGGTTCACATCGTCTGCCGTTTTGGCTGACGGCAAACATTGCCGTTACATTCATCCCTGCCACACATCTTTTTATCAACGGATGCATGCAGTGGTCCCACCATTTGTGATTAATTAGGGACTACTAATCAGCAGAATCACTTATTTCTCTTTCAAAGAAAATCAGCAAATAGAATCTCAGGGGCAAAGCGCGCGAGAACAAAAATAGAGCAGAGGGAAAGCTCATGCTTTTTGGCGCCAAGAAATGGATCAACTGACAGAAGCAGAGCAGAGCAGAGCAAAATACTACAGCAAAGCAAGCTTCTGTTATACTAAGAAGCTATTCAAATACCTGAACAATAGTATATGTCTTATAAAATATTTAAGTATTTATTTGACAAAAATAGCATTGCTGCACTACTACTATGTCCCAGATAGAGTATTTTTCATCCAAAAACTAGCAGCGAAATGAAGCTACTGCTGAAATCCTTCATAATACAACTCACATCCATCTGATAAAAGATTTTGTTGTTCTGGTTCTGCTGTTCCTGGGTGAATAGACATTTGGTGTCGATCCATATTCTTGGCGCCAAAAAGCAGGAGCTTTCCCTCTGCTCTGCTTTTGTTCCCGCGCGCTTTGCCGCTGAGATTCTATTTGCTGATTTTTTGGGAAGAGAAATAAGTGATTCTGTTGATTAGTAATCCCTAATTAATCACAAATGGTGGGATCACTATATGCAGCTGTTGACAGAAGGATGTGTGGCAGGGATGAAGGCAACGGCAATGTTTGCCGTCAGCCAAAACGGCAGACGATGTGAACCCATCCAAAGTATGTCTGGTACGCTATGGAATTTGCCACAGGGAGCATGGGCTCTAGGCCGAATACCAACAACTTCAGGTCTTGGAAATTTCATTTGAGATACCCGGCAGCATCGAAAGCCTATTGTAGGGCTAGATGATCCACCATAATCCCATCCGGCAAGGATCTTGCCAAAAGCAGGCGTAAAACCTGCAGACTCCATAAGCACATCGGAGAAAGTCTCCATCAAACTCCATCGCCAAGGAGGGAGGAAGGAAGCTGTCACCCAGTCGCCTGGGCATCGCCCCAACCCTAACCCAAACCCTAACATGATTACATGAAATTAGTTAGTATTAGATTAGAAGGGTGCGATCTGTATACAAGTACGAAAGAACTCAGTTTAAAGGTCAGCTCCGAGTAAACTTTTGAAAGTTATGTGTGCCAAAGGTTCCATTTGGTTAGCTTGCTTTAGGATTCATTAACATTTTATAATTTTCAGGGTTATGGATACCACATACCTAACAGTAGTTAACTAAATCTCGGTAGTACCCACCACATACCATATCTTATACGGAAACAACTTTCGGATATAGGAAGAGTTCCGCATAAGGAATGATAAATAGAGTTCTACATGGAAACGACAAGGACTACTATTCATATTGGTTTCCCTAGTTCTACTTGGACAAGGGGACACCTATGGGTATAAATACAAGGCCCCCTAGGAGGAGAGGAGACACAATCAACATACACAGAACAACAAAAGCCACAACATACAAGCCAACATACACCAAGACACGCCGCCGGATATCGACATCAGAGATATGCCTGGACTGACCCTATCCGGTACCTACAGAGGCCAGCTGTAGGGATCTAGCGCTGTCTTTAATCTCGTCGGGCACGGATTCGAGGAGGAAGACTACCCTGTTGTCGACTAAGTGACGATATTTCAAACCACTATGTCGACAACAGATAGATAGGCTACCCCAAATATTGTACTGGTGTGATTATGGTGAATAAGAGCAACGACCGGCTTCGGTCAACAGGATGTAGGGTTATTACCTGACAATTCAGGGGCCCGAACATGTATAAAAATTATCGTCTCTGTCTCTTTTACCTAAGTCTCGTATATATCCTGGTACCAACGATCCCCATACTATACAAATACCAGAATCGTGACATCAAACATCGACAATAATAGAGATTGCTAAAGGACGCTCCATCTTGTTTACAAACAAGGTCAAAATGATTTGAAATCACCACATTAACACAAAACAGATATCTCCCAAAAAAAACAGAGAGAGAAGAAACCTACATCAGTAACCATGAAGGATCTACATTATTATAACGGTGTAGAATGCAGATTGACTGCATATATATTATATTTATTGTAGCTGTCACAGTTGTGTGTGTATGTGCGTGTGTGTATATATATATATACACACACACACAAGCAAAATGCCCGTGCATCGCTACGGGTAAAAGACATATAAAATATTTTATTAGGCTACATATTGATAAGAAATTTCAATGACAATTCGGATGGATAAAAACCACTATTGCATACTGAAATACTTGCTCTTTTTCAACTCCCGCGTGGTAAAGTGCGCGATCTCCTTTTTCTAAAATTATACCTGGGCTCGCGTACAAAGTGATTGTGTCACGCGTAGATGACATATAGGCAGTCGAGGGAGAAGACGTAGGCGCTGGTACCAACCCATCACTGATTGAGAGAAGGGAGAACCAGAGAAGGGACAAGGGAAGAGCAGGTGCGTTAAGTGAATGGCAAGGCGGATAATTCCCTTCTAACTGTCAGGGTCCTTACCGAAGCGAGTTAAACCGTTAGATGATTCAATCGGACGATTCAACATGGTCCGTGTAGGCGACGAATGAAAAGGAGTGTGATGATCGGAAAAATCCGTTTTTTTAAGTAGGAAGGGATAAAAGTTCGTGTATTGGTACTCGGGCAGAACATCCTTGAATGAAAGAAGCATCGGCATGCATCAACAAAAGCTGCCCGTCCTCCCTGCTCGCATCTCCTTAGCCTAGCCCATCTCTCATCCAAGCTAAGTTTGACATGCCCGAGGAGATACACATGCATATGTTTGGTTGCTTACACGAGAGATACGGTTTGGAAGAGATTTTGTTTGGATGATTTTATGGATGATCACTTCTCTTTATTTAGTTAGGTGAGGTTATCTATAAAATATCATATTAACATCTGATTCAATTAATTAGGTGTACTCTTCAACATGCAAAATATGATTTTTTTACTAATGTGTAAATCATTGTTCCCAAAAGATGTGAAAAAAAAACCACATATACAGTATGTGTGTGTCAAACCTAGCTAATGCATCACAGCTAGTATATGTGTGTGTCAAGCAGTAGCAGTAATCTACAGTTAGGCTAATCTGATCTTAATGATCAAGACACGCATGAGTGAGTAACAAAAAATGCATTGTCTTAGAAAAGTGGGAACTGGGAAGCTTGCGTGTGAGCGCCTGAGCGGTAGGAGAAGAAAAAAAGAAAAAAAAAACAGAAAAGGAGCGTTGTTTCCTCGCCGCCCCCGATAATTATCCGCATGTGCAGTTAGTGAAAAAAAAAAACAAAAAAGGAGCATCGTTCCTTCATCCTCTTTCCTCGTCCTCATCGCCACTCGTCATTCCTCTCAGCTCGCCGCCCCGATTCATTTGCTTGCCGCCGGATCTGACGCCTTTGGACTCGTGGCCAACGAATCCCGCGGCGGGAGGAAGGAGAGTGTGCTGAATCCCGTTGGATTCGGCCGCCTAGAGGCCGGCGGACACTGGATCCAACCGCCTTGAAGCCAAAGGCCGCCCGATCCACAGCGCAGCAGTGGCGGCGGCGACGGCCTCAGCCTAGAGCTAGCAGTGGTGGTGGTGACGGCCTCATCCTCCGACGAGCAGCGGCGGCCTCCCCCTTCTCCTTGATGGCCGCATGGTAGGTGTGGATCGAAGGTGACCACGGCTGAGAGGGAGATTGATGATGGTGTTGGCGGTGAGTCAGTTTGGTTCTCCTGTTATTTTGTTGAATGTCTAATATGGCAGAAGAATTTTGATCCGTGATTTGGTTCTGCTGTTGTTGATGACGTTGACGGATAATTGAATCAATGTAAATTTCCTCTTCTTGATTTCTAAGGTGCTTCTCATCTTTGACCTGTGGATGTGGAATTTTTTTTCCTAACTTATAAATGTGGATGGGGGATTTGGGCAACTGTGGATGTGTGATTCTTCGTAATCTGTAATCGTGGATGGGGATCGAGGGGGGGGGGATGTTTACAAGATTGGGTTATCTTGAGGGAATTTTGGTTGTAATTTGTGTGTTTATGTTTTCGATTCGGTTAGCTTCTCATACGGGCATTGAGACAGGGAAGCGGGGAAATTCACATCGATGTGACGGACAAAAACGGATTGGCTCGGATAATGTGACGATTGGAAAAAATATGAATCTTTTAATTAGTTAAGATATAGATATAGATATATATATATATTTTTTCAATCTTTAACAATAAGCAAAGGAATTGCAAACATAGTACACGTTGAGCCGCCGCAGCCGCACAATTGTGCCGGAAAATTCAGTTAGTTATATAGTTTGTCTGCCACTTCTAACCAAATTCTCTACCTACCAACATGCTCCATTATCCATAGAAACCTAACTAAAGATCACACAACCAGCAAAGCAGCGCAGTATCCAGCATCCAGCCACAAGAAAACATGACGAGAACAATGCTGACAAGAGCGGTACCTACCGGAGAGCAGTCGTCCTCGGAAGCACAGGCGCAAGACTTTGACAAGTGCCAAGACTGTGATGTGCCAAATAGCAGGGAACATTGCCCCCCTAGAAAAAAAAGGTACTACGGAGTAGCAGCAGACAAATAGTGACATGGAACATGGACATCTTTTTATTCCGATCGGAGAAACAACCATTAAGTGAAATCTCACGTTTTCAGGGTTAAAAAACAAGGACAATCCGCACATCCACATCTCTACACTCTCCAAACTCACTATGCACACATTTTCTTCCCGGTGGCATTGCCGCGATAAGAGAAAGTAGAAACATCACTGTTTCTACCATGTCTAACAGGCTAACTGCCTATTATTATCTACTACTATGTACCCTTGATTCACAGCATTGAAAACTGCATAAAAGCCTGCTGGTTTACCTAGCAGGCCCGAACCTCAGCAAACCGGCTTGGGGTTGGCTCACAATTGTTGGTAAGTTTCAGAGATCCAAAGAGACATGATAGTCTTCTCATGATGGGCTTCCGGCTGACTATCACTTCCAACGACACAACGTCCTTCCTGGTATCGGCATAAGTATCATATCCCTCGAGGTCCGCTTCTGTTATGAGTACTGCGTCAGTACACACTGTAGGGCTCGTTGGCCTGGGTAACATTACTTGACAAAGGGGTAAACCACTATCTTCGTAATCAAGCTCCATGGAGTAGTAATCATCAATTTCTGAGTTGGTGATGCAGTCATCCCCGGCTTCTAGAAAATGGCCCAGGTTTTTACTCTGTATTGGAAGACGCCCGGTGGTGAGGGTACTAAAAACGTTGACAGCCTGCACAATCATGTCGTTGCATGAAGCAGCTTAGCATTTGTAGGACTGTAGAGTAATAGCTCTCACTTGGACAAAATGCAATAACAAAAGACGTCCCCACACCTGCCACTGCGATGGTGCCAAAAGTACTCTAGGCCTAATGGATCGGACATGATCTAATGCTGCTTCTGGACTCATGCTCCGATATTTAATCTGCAAGACAAGTAATCTGTCATCAGCAAAATGGAGCGAAAGATATACAATATTGAGTTGCTTTAATTATTGTTTATCCTACCAGATAACACAAAACAATAGTCGTGCTACGCCCTCTTCCAGCTTTACAGTGAACATAAGTAATGCCACCTTCTGATGCATTCCCTGAAAAAAAGAGCCAAAGTTAATATCCAGTTGAGGTCAGCAAAAATTGTCTGCATAAATGGCTACAATGCAGAAAGTGTGTAAAAGCAGGTTTCCTTTCCTGCCAGCAGATATATTAATAATTTCACTTAATAATCATGGTGTATGGTAGTATTATATTGCACTGACAGCTAACAGATCCTTCTCATCCCATGGTTGGAACTTGGAGATGGGATGTGAATTAGAACATGTCGCTGCAACTTAAATTTGAACACCTACTACACCAACAACTAATTGGCCATGATCGCAAACCAAATTCCATATCCATTAGTTGAACGCAGCTATCACCTGCTCCACAAAATCAGAGTTGACTGCAACTAGCTTGACTTCCCTTAATCTGACTACCGGTAGTAGTTTTGTTACCTAAACCTATGTCATTGTTTACATGCGGAAGAACAATATTTCATACTAGTGTTCGAGAAAAAATAAATATTCCATACTACAGAGTCATACAGGCATTAAAAAAATCGAAGTGTAAAAGTGACACACTTAGGACCATGTTCAACAAAGGGCATGAAGCCATTAACATTGGCCACCTTTAGGACTATATGTTGATATGTTCCACAAAGGGCATGAACTTACGGTGGATAAAATCTATGGCTTGACAAATATCCTGGAGGGCTGGTGCAAACAGGTAGTCTCTTGTGGGAATAATAAGGTGGTCAATCCCATGGGCCTGCAAAAGTAGGACTTGTTACTCGTCAGGAGGATCTTGCATTGTTGATTGCAAACACAAAATAAAGTGATTGAAAATCCCCTGAATGAATCAAATGAATAAAATTATGCTTTAAACTCAACGAGAAGATGTCTGACAACAAAAGACTACATCATACACTCTCACAACGAGTAAATAATGAAGACCAAGTCTTTCCTTCTGATTGAGTAGCGAATCAAGGTTCACAACACAAATGAAATCATGTACTAAGCTAGGAAATCAAGTGATAAGAGATTTTACCTGGTATAAAGATGTTGGGACCAGGGTCTCATAAGCCTCATTCAATGTTACAACTCCCTGAACTCCAAGTTGCTTCAAACGTGGAACATCACTTGGGAAAGGAACAGCACCTAGCAAAATATACTGCGGGTGGAGATTGGACAAATTAGTCGGTGAGATCTTTATAGCACAGACTCAATTAAGAGTACTAAATTATGTAAAACAACAGTGTAACAAAGAACGGCAACTAAAGCCATGTCCACAAATCCCTCCACATGCCAAACTAAACATCATATGAGACTTACTGCAGTCTACACTAGTAATTTACCAAAGAACAGGCCGAAATAACGTACGCACTTGAAGATAATTACTCAAATTTCTTAGACAAAATGGAGCCTTAATGGAACAACCACAGGAACACAATCACTGCTCACGGGGAAGCGAAGGGTATTACTTCAGGGGGAAAAAAAGGCAATGAAACTCTCCCCGTAATATCCAAGCATAACAAAACCAACCCCCAAGTGAACAAATCCCACAGAGATAAGTCAACAGCCACCCTAACAGTCACGAGTAAACCAAAAGCGAAGCCTATAATCGCGCGAGGCTTGTAGAGAGTTTAATCACGCGAGTCGAATTCAGACGCAAGGAAAGAGGGGGCAAACCCACCTGGTCGACTCGGTCCCACCACCGGAACTCCGCCTCGAACCGGTTGCGCAGCACGTTGTAGAGCAGCGTCGGGTAGAACAGCACCCTGGCGCCGGCGCCGACGAGCGCACGCTTCGCGCTCAGCCGCGCTACCACCACGCCGCCGCGGACGCTGGCCTCCTCCACCACCACCTGCTGCTCCTCCTCCCCTTCCGACCGCACCCCGTCACACTCTCCCAGCTCGCTAATCCTCATGCCCCTCCTCCTCCTTCCCCCACCAGCTTCAACCCTAGCGCCGCCGAGACGACTCCAGCGCCCTCTCGCCCTTCCAGAGCCGGCAGATCCGCAGGGGGCGCGGGAGAGAAAGCGCGCGGATCGGGAGGTGGTGATGGCGAGTTGCGGCTGCCTCGCGGGACGCGAGAAATGGGAAGAGCGCCTGCGCCGCGGTGTCTAAAACCTCGGTAGAGGCGGATGCGGAAACAGGTGGCAATTTTGCTGAATCGGAGAGAGGGCCAGGGGAGACGGTCTGGTCTCGCTGGTTCGTGGTTTTTTGTTGGTGAGAGAATGAGAGATGGAATTTATTGGTGGAGGAAACGTGGTGTGTGTGCTCTTTCGCGTCAGGCCCTTCAACAGCTGCATAATTGTGCTCTTTGATGGTTGGATGGTTTGGTAGGTGCAACAACAATTCCTCAACGCGCAGCGTTTTGTTCATGCTATTGAATTAAGAGGTTCATTTTCTAGAGTACATGTAAAAGATTTTCGTGTCCCGCTTGCGTTAGGAGAAGAAAAGGGAGCACAACAGAACCCAAACATAATGGTACGGAGGGAATGAAGAGTTTTTTAGAGGTCCATGCTCAGTATACTTGAAATGTTTAACTGATGCGTCTAATGTTCTCCTTCTCCATACTCCAAGAGGTACTCCCTCCGTTCTATAATATAAGGGATTTTGAGTTTTTACTTGCACTGTTTGATCACTCGTCTTATTCAAAAAATTTTAGAATTATTATTTATTTTTTCTGTGACTTACTTTATTATCTAAAGTACTTTAAGCACAACTTTTCGTTTTTTATATTTGCACAAATTTTTTAAATAAGACGAGTGGTCAAATAATACAAATAAAAACTCAAAATCCTTTATATTATGGGACGGAGGGAGTAGTTGTTTAGTGGGGATTGAGATCCGATGCAGACACAACTGCACCATAGGACTGCATGTATTGTAACCGTTCATTTTAATGATCAAAAGCTCATATTTACCGCTCCACTACTCAAACAGTAGTACATAAAACAATATTTTATACTATAACAGTTTTTGCTACATTGCCAAGCTAATATGTAGTACCGTTTAATTTCAATCCAATACAGCAGCTGCAAATTATTTAAGTTACAGTCAATACTATGACTGCAGCTGATTCAGATCCGTTTAGTGGGATACACAGTCAATACTCAATGACATGTTTTAATTGTAACGGAATAACATCGAGTCACAAAAAATACTTATTAATTTGTTAAAAATAAAAGAATATACAAAGGTGCCGAACATGGTAGTAGACAGCTCTTCCAGGGGTTGTTAAGGATATCTTATTAAGTTGAGTCAATCCGTTCTATGCCATTAACAATTGTGTGGGTTCTACAATATGCCACTAACAAATTTAGTTCTACAATATACTACCGAACAATCCATTTTCTCCTTATATGCCATCGTTGTTAGTCAGCCATTAGTTTTATTAAAAACTTTGTGCAAATACATAAGATATAAATTATGCTTTAAGCACTTTTAGTGATAAAACAATCACAGTAAAAATAAATGATAATCATAAAAAAATTAAGTAAGTCAAATGATCAAATATGTGTCAAAAGTTAAAGACGACTTTCATTAAAAACCAGATGTAATATTTAGGCTTTGTTTGGCTAATGAGTTAGGGAAATAATTTCCTACCCACAAAAGACATCTTTAAATTCCAACCATTCATTATCCCTTTTCTATTTAATCCTAACCACTGGTGGAGAAAGCCTTTTTACTCCCAGTTGGTAACCCCCATATAGTCCCGGTTTTTCAACCGGGAGTATGAATCCAGGACTAAAGATCACTATCTTTAGTCCCGGTTCAAATACCCGGGACTAAAGATCGATCTTTAGTCCCGGTTGGTGTTACCAACCGGGAAAAAAGAGAGGAATCTTTAATCCCGGTTGATAACACCAATCGGGACTAAAGAGAGAGTAGCGCTTTTTTTTTCTTTTGCCAGATTTAATCTCTATATTTTCTCCCAAATCTAGTGCCATGTATATCCCTAAATCAATCCCCAAATCCCCAATTCAAAGTAACATCCCAAATCTTAAGTTACTTATAAACATAAATCAAATACATCACAAATCCTAAAAAAATATACTCAAATCAAATACATCACAAATCCTAAAAAATACACACAAATCAAATACATCATAGATTATACATCTCATATCCATGCAACGAATCACAAAATTACACATCCCAATCAATCACAAATTGTAAAAAAAAAGAAAAAAAAAGAAAAGAGACCGGCCGGCAGTTGAGAGGGCAAGGCCGCCGCCGGGCGCACCCCCGCCGGCCGCCGCTGCGCGCGGCACTGCCACCGCCCGCCGCGGCCCCGCCGGCCACCGGGTCGGATGGGAAGTGAGGAGGGGAGGAGGAAGGGGAGAAGGGGGAGGAGGAGTTAGATCTGTGAAGAGGAAGGGGAACAGATCTGTGAAGTGTAGGAGAGGATAAGGGATAGAGATTATATACTACGTATTAAATTTTAGTCTCGGTTGGTAATATTAACCGGGACTAAAGATCAATATAATTTTTAGTCCCGGTTAGTATTATCAACCGGGACTATAAAGATGATCTTTAGTCCCGGTTGGTGTCACCAACTGACACGTGATGAACCGGGAGTAAAGATGATTTTTAGTCCCGGTTGTTGTGTTTTTAGTCCCGGTTGATTTTTAGTCCCTGTTTTTATTGCAACCGGGACTATTGTGGATTTTGGTCAACCGACCAAAGATGGTTTCTCCACCAATGAACGCTTCATTTATTTTCCAATCCTAATCCTACCTCTCATTTTTCATTATCCAAACATACCCTTAAAATGAGAGAGAGAAAGAGGGACGGAGGGAGAGGATGGGATATTTGCAAAGGGACGAATCATGATGTCATGCTGATTCTTCTCAACCGGAGCTCAACAACCAACTCATGTTTTTGCATACCGAAGTGGCAAAGAATGAAGATTTCACGGTTGATAAAATAAAGAAACATGATCCCTTTTGTGGTTGATAAGTGGAGAGGTTAAGAATTATTAATACTGGAGAAAATTTCATCATTATTCTATTTTTTTTCTCAATGATGTTAGACTAGATAAACACCGAGAAACGACATATCAAGACAAAGTCTAGTATGTATGTGTGTACAGCTGGACTACTATACTATTTTAAAGAAATACTCCCTCCGTCCTCTAGTATAAGGGATTTTGACATTTTGCTTACACTGTTTGACCATTCATCTTATTCAAAAAATTATGGAATTATTTTTTTTACTTACTTTATTATCCAAAGTATTTTAAGCACAACTTTTCGTTTTTTATATTTGCACAAATTTTTTTAATAAGACGAGTTGTCAAACAGTGCAAGCAAAATATCGAAATCTATATTATAGTACGAAGGGGGTTTAGGTTTTAGAGTTTAGGGTATAGTACTCACGGTAAGTTTAAATCTTCCGTCGTTTTGTCCAACCAATTTATTGACACGTTTTTCAATAACCATACCACTATGATATCATTGTACATAAATCATTGACATGGCAACTGCTAGTACTAACCAAAAGTTGTCAGGATAGCTACACCTGAGAGAATGTTAGACGAAATAAGGGAGGGAAAAAGGGTGGCAAGTCCATTTTGAGAGTGCAATTAGAAAGCTGAGTACATTGCAAATCGACAGCAAAGGACCATCATTATGGACAAGTTCTAGGTTGTGAACGTAAAAAGGCCTAATCACCAACTCCGCCCATCAATGCTTTCCAGGGGTGTAAATGATATACTAAACCGCATAAAACCACAAATCTTTTGGATTTTTTTTCTCATTTCCTCGAGGCCTTATTCGATTAATTTTTATGAGGGAGGGATTAGAGAGAATTTATTCCACACCTATTGTGGTGTGGAATTATTCCTCCCGTCTTTAATCCTATCTAAACCGAACAAGGCCCTATTGTGGTGTGGAATTATTCTTCCACAGTCCCCTCCAATATTTTTCAATCCCCTTCAAACCGAACAAGCTCTCACGGCTGCCACTCAGCCACTCACATCTTCTAAGGGTGCGTTTGGTTTACGGTCAAGGTTAGATAGGATATGGCGGTCCATAATTTGCTGGATTTGACGATCCAGTTTTTTGTTTGGTGGAGTGAGTATATTGATCCAGTTTTTTATTTGGTTCTAGGGATGAAGGTGGATTTGGTGATCCAATTTTTTGTTTGGTTAGAGGGAGTAGGATGGATGAATGGCTGCAATCACCCCTTCATTAGAGAGGGTGAGTATACCCCTTCAAAATCACCAAACCCACAAAATTATCAATCTATATATTAAAAAAATATAGAGAAATAAAAAAATCATAAACAAATAAAAGGGGGAAAATAAAAAAAATAGTCCTCTTCTCGTTGGTCGTCGGCTTGCTCTTCTCGCCAGCTGCCGCCCCGTCTTCTCGCTCGCCAGCCGCTGTCTCGTCTCTTCGCTCCTCTCGCCGGCCGCCACCCCGTCCCCTCATTAGGCGGTGACAACGACGACGATGCCGGCCGTCTCACCGGATCCGCCGCCTCCAGATCCCGGCGAGGAGGAGCCTGGGAAACTACAATGGTTGCCGCTTTCAGATCCGGTCATCGTCATCTACTTCCATACCACCGCCTCTTCCCACTCGCCACCGCCCCATCTTCTTGCTGTCGTCGCCTTCGGCCTCCAGTCTCGCGGCACCCTCTTCCCGCCGCCACCGCGCTTGTGTCCCGTGCCAGCCGTTGCGCTCCCGTCCCGCACCGGCCTCCGAGCTCGCCTCTCTTGCTGGCTGCGTGCTTGCTGCCTCGCTCGCAGGGGCGTGCCTAGGTTATACTACCCGGTGTCACAGGACACCGGGTAGATTATTCAAATCCTATATAAATTACACTATATTAATTAATATATTAGTCAATAATTAGATAATTAGTATGTATTGGACCCCCGGTAACTTTTATTCTAGGTTCGCCACTGCTCGCTCAAGTCATTGCGGTCACGTGGTGACGGATGACACGAGTCGAGCGACCAGCTTGCTCGCTCGTCCGCCCTCGCCCGGGCGCTCGGGCGGCTACTTCTAAGGGGAATATTCTCCTCCGGGCCGCCCTATTCTATTTTCGCCCACCAACCAAACACAAAAAAAAAAGGGGGCCGCCATATCCTATCCACCCAAAACCCACCATCCAAACACACCCTAAGAAAATCCACTCGCTCTAATCCCGGCCGTATATTCCCAATCCAGGCGAATCGGCCACTGTAACCGGAAAAAAACAGTTCTATCCGTCAGATGCCGATCGGAAGGCC